AAAATAATGGTTTGGTGTTGGGATAGAACTCCAGGAATATTCATTACTACACCCGAGGTTTGAAACAGAGCATAACAACTGTGTTATTTGAGCAAATCGGACCCAGTAAGTAGTTCTGTATTTATTATGTTTGATTCCTGATATCCCAAAGCAGTTATTCGGTTTGGTCACTTCATAAACATTTTTCGAGTGTGCTTCCAGATTTGTTATGTTTCTTTTGGACTCCTTATCTGGTTCAGTCCTATAGCTTATTATTGTGATTCCTAAATGTCTTGATACCAAGTATAGAGTCAATCCCTTTCAATTTGACAATTTTCTTAATTCTTCATGGCATTTCCAGAAGAAACATCCTCTAAACAAATAGTACTCAAAGAATATCCCTGTAATTATTCTGAGCCGAATAATGTTTTGCTGGTGCACTTTTTTGATTTTCTTCTGACAAGGCAACTTATAATATTCATCGAATGATCTGTTGGATTCATTTATTGGTTGATTGGGAAAGTTTGCGCGATTCTGTTAGTTGAAGTAATCCATTGGAATTTTTCTGTTGAATTTAGGAACTCACCTAAACAGTCTTGTGTGTATTATTGGGTACATGTTCTTAACGTTTATTAATGAATAATTTCCTAATATGTTCCTTTACAATTTGTTCCTCTATGGAATCTGTGACTCTCCCAGTCTTTTTGGTTTACTTTGAATACTGGCACCCAGTGTAGGGTCAATCTTCTCTCCGTACGCGGCAATGGATGTCATCTTTATAGATTCATGGAGAGAGAGAGGCTAGATGGAGAACATACAGAATTGTAAATGGTATCAATTGCACAAAATATGCTTGTGTGTGACTGAAAGTAAACATCGCAGCATTCGGGAAATGACATCTGGCTTAATGTCTTCAAATGTCAACTACGAAGTGCCTTACGTAGAACTGTTTTCGAATAGATAAGTTGTATTCTGCGGTAGTAAGAAATATTAAGAACAGATAGCTCTTGGTTCACGTATGGCTTGAAAACAGTGAAATCATGCTTTCCGAGCCATCTACTCGGGAAATTATCATCTAGGAGTTGTTGCCCTGGTGTTATGCAACGGGGATAGATTACATCCTGTTGAAAAAGTACCCCGTTTCACAATAGAAGATGTAACTGGATGACGTCGTTAATACTTGGCATAACCTGGTTATCCAGCAAATGGAAAAATTCTTCACCATTTTGTTCCGAAGAGANTATGCTTTACAATACCATGAAAATTCGTACATTTTTGTTTTGTAAATTTTTGTATTGCCGTAATCCTCCTTTCAAGGCTGATTTCTCCTTAATCAATTATAATTCGTAATATTTTTATAATTCTCAATCCTGGAAGTAACGAAAATATTAGTTTTTGGTCAAAATTCGATTGTTGTATAATTTGCTAGGATCAAATAGCATCTCAATTCATTTACCATCTTTAACGCGTAGGCTTTGTTTGGTTTCTGTGGCAGGAAAAATGAATGCGTTCTGCTGAGAACTGTCAGATGTTTATGAATATATCAAAGATGTATTCAAATGATGAAAAGACTGATATGCTATTTAGTTATGAAAAATCAAATAGACATCCTCTTTTGGCAAGGAATACGTATGTTAAGCTATACCCGAATGTTTAGACGATTAGAAAGAAATTTGAGAGACTATGGAGCACTTGACAGAAGGAAAACAAGAAAACGTGTCGTTACTGGAAGTGAGAGGAATCAAATAAATGTGATGGGTGGGCAAATATTAGCACATACAAATCTACACAGTGGAAACATTTTTTTTGTTAATTTAGAATTGGCCAGTTACAAAAATTTTGCTAATCAAGATTGTTCTTTACGAGAAATTGTCTACGAAATGGAGATTTCTGTAAAATCCACCAGAACTATTTTGAAAAAGAACAAATATGATTTGCTGTTCTGAAACCACAGGTAACTTCATCTGAGATGATCATGACTCCATCGAAAAATTTTGTTTGATGAACACTATAGTTGTCAGAACTCATCAAACATCTTGAGTTTGCACGAACGAACGAATTGTTCTTTTAGATAATCTTACGTTTGCACAAATACTTCAGTCGAAATGAAGAATATCGAGATATTTTGAACCTTTATTATGAATTTGATAGGAATAGTACGAAAATAGCACACATTCATTTCGAATTATTTCCGGAAAGACAACAGCCGGATAGAACATTATTCGGTATTTTGGACAAGCACTTTGCTGAGTACGGTGGATTTCAAAACCTGAAACAGTTCCAGTTGATATGTCAAGAAGAGTATTTTGACCACACCACTGAAGATGACTGCTGCAGTTGCAGTTGAAACGTTTGGAGATTGTAACCAAAGTAGGCTGTGGCAAAACCCGGAAACCAACCAAGATAATTGTGTTGATTGTCGAAAATTATATTGGTTTGAATTATTTTCCTGCAAAATATTTTTGTGTATAGAAACATTGACTTATTCAGTTATTTGCGAATTCTATCATCAAATATCAATATAAATGTTACCATATTTTGCTTAGTTATCGTTGATTTTTACTTCAGAGATCATGATAGTATCTGAAGTAACTTCATGAGTTTCAAATATTGATATTCTTTTTTGTTTCAGTTAAGAAAGCCCGTTATGTTGGAATTCAAGGTGAGTCAAAAATGCTGAACTGCCATAATCCTAAAAAAATAGACTATTTACAATTCTTGAATTTTTCTTTACTTTCTTTTGAAATGAAGCATTTTCAACATGATTTTGACTATACTTCTGTTATAATTCTTGAACCTTTCTACAAAATCAGTTTCTGAAGCTACATACATNAGTGAAGCATTTTCAACATGATTTTGACTATGCTTCTGTTATAATTCTTGAACTTTTCTACACAATCAGTTTCTGAAGTTACATACATTTTTAATCGCCATGTGTAAAATTTTTAATTTTGCTTTCAAAGTAATCATCAACTTTTTTCCTTTACAGCACAACAATTCAACACATATGCTACATTGAAACTACAAAACGTTAAATCGACCACAGTAACTGTTAAAGGAGCGACACCATGTTGGGAGCAAGATTTTCTTTTGTGAGTATCCTCATATAATGAAAAGTTCGAAAGAATACGGCCACTCGACGAAATGATAAAAAATAAGTGTTATCACGATTGAAACATATTTGATACTAGCTTTTACCGCGGTTTCGCTCGCATTTATGCCATTAAATAAGTGTCAGTATAATAGAAATGAATCAATACCGAAGACTTTGGTCTCCCAAAGCTGGATCAGAGCCTATATATGGAGGTCGTAATAAAAACTGGATATATTTCAAGATCTTACTCGAAACTCTATTGTGACAACTGTGAAACTATTTTGACGACTACTGACCTTCGTCAGTATCAAAACTTAAGACGATGAATTCATCTAGAAGATTTCTTCTGGATTTTCTGGGATGTTCTCACATTTGCAATTTTGACTTCATAATCAGGACCTTTGTGAATTTTTTCAATGATTCTTGGTGTTCATTGAAATCAACCCCATAGTTCATTGATTACAACAACTTCATCCTCCTTGATATTCGATTCATTCTTTGTACATTCAGAACGCCTGATAAGCGTTGGAAGATATTTACGTAACCATTGCTTTCAAAATAAATCTGCAAAGTGACATCCTCTACTGTTTTCTGAGTACTAGATTATGAGCGATAAAAATTTCAGATGATATGAATATGAATATGCCATTGGGGGTAATAAATACTTGTTGATCATTTGGGTCATCTGACAGTGGAGACAATGGACAGCTATTGAATATGAACTCGGCTTGTTTGAAAACAATCAAAATTGTTAACTGAGTATACATTGAAAATATTGAAACTGACAAAACACACATATATACCGGAGAAGTATCAGAAAAAATGAAAAGACTATTGACTAAACAGAACAACAGCATACAAGGTAAACACCTCAGGTAAATATATAGGGCGTTCCAACGAAAACTTGACACCCCTGTAAGTCAGGAACGGACGTGTAGTCGAAAATTTCAAAGAACACGTTAATTTCTATTTCTAGGGGGACTAATTCTGGTGATATGGAAATCATATCCGAAACTTCACCCCCTGCGGTCAACAACTACCAGCCCTATTTTTTTCAATGGCATGAGGGGTCGAGTGATACATCATTTGAAAGGTCTCTCATCCCTTTATTGCTCCTGTAATTTTTTTCGAGATTGATTTATTCGTTATTTTGAGGATTCGCATTGATCCAGTAACGACGATTATGTCTATCACCATTCAACATTAATGAACTTTCGTCTTAAAAACATGTTTTGTATAATAGGTTTGGGTTATGGATCAATTTTTCGCTGAACACCTTATAAAACTGAAGTCGGCGATCAGGATCATCTTCGTTTAATTCCTTAACTAGCCTCATTTCGAAAGGATGTAATTTGTAGGCTCTCAAAATCCGAAAAACACTAGAAGCTGATACACCGGATGCTCTAACTACTTGTCTGATCTCTAGTCCATTATTCATTTGTACATGTCCTAAAACTGCAACTTCAATTCCGTCATTTGTGATAGGACGGGATACTTCATGTTTTCTGTTGTGAACAGAACCTGAAATTTGAAAATTATCCATTAACTGTTTAACATATTGATGGCTCACGTTGTGGTCTGGATGATTCGTATTATAAATTCTTGCAGCAGCTTTAGCACATTCATTATTTATATATAGTCCATTATTCATTTGTACATGTCTTAAAACTGCAACTTCAATTCCGTCATTTGTGATAGGACGGGATACTTAATGTTTTCTGTTGTGAACAGAACCTGAAATTTGAAACTTATCCATTAACTGTTTAACATATTGATAGCTCACGTTGTGGTTTGGATGATTCGTATTATAAATTCTTGCAGCAGCTTTAGCACATTCATTATTTCGATGATAGGTTGCAACAATTTCTATTTTTTCTTCAGTAGAATAAATCATGTTGGAACACAGTGAACAAGGATGACTGAATGATAATTCGTGAAGAGGTGACAGTGGCTAACTATATCTTCTTCCATCTATTCAGGGACCTCGTTGATTGAAATCATGAAATTTTAAGAAAGAAATCCCTAGACAATCTCAAAAATGACACAATATACGCATCGTACCTATAGGAAAAACATATTTGATTTGATACGATTTTGTGAATAATTGTATATCATATTTTGTTGTAAACTTTCAAATTGTGGTTGATCATTTTTCATAATCACGATATACGAATACTTCATTTCATGAAATAATTCCATTATTTCATACGGCATTGAAATCCATGGCCACAAACAATGGAAAATTATCATCAATCTGAAAAAAGTTTCACTGCTGTTTCAGCAGGCTGAACGTGTTGTTGCTTCATTATAATGCAGTTATTTCCATGCGAGGCCATCTGAACTAATTGAACTCACTGAGGAGACCACTGTTCAGGCAACAAATCATTTCCAATGGAGTTCTGGAAATCGTATTATGAACAACTACCAAAATCAAATTATGAGCGAATTCAAATACGAGTGGGTGAAAATCACATTGACGGGAAAATAATTGGAGCTGATGTACACAAACTCAATCACTGAAGTTTTTGTTGAGCAGTGGTCGATAATTGATGAAACCTTGGGATTTGGATAATTACAAATTTATTGTTGTTACAGATACACACACCTCTCTGTTGTACAGAGACATGCTTGCCTGGCTATCTTCGATGCCATCAGTATCACTCCGTTAGTGGCCATGTAAATCCTTCTAGATCTACTCCTAACATTTTTCTGGAGAGGGAGGAGAGATGGACAAGATACAGAATTGTACATACTGAAAACTGCGCAAGACAGGCTTATGTGGAGTGTAGCACACTACTGAAAGTCACAGCATTCTGAGCCTAATCTCAGACTCAATGCGTCAGTCAACTACGATTTATCTTATACATTCCTTCTACTGAGTGACAAAACACAAGCACTACAGGAAAATCCTTAAGGCGCTTTAAGAGCGCTGCTTGTGCGAAAGTAGCAATTCACATTGGATTTGAATCTCTGGAGATTGAACCCATTTGGAAAAATGTTCTCAGAAAGTTCTTTCCACATAAACACAGTTATCCAAATAAAATAGTGAAGTTTGAGCTATACTGAGTTGAACCTCAAAACGAGCAGCCATAGTCAGTTGCGCATTTCTGATACGTACCGATCTTGGTGGAATCAAATGTGCCAAGTAACTTGAACACCTCCCGAGAAAGTATCTAGAAAAGGGAGATAAATAAGCAACCTTCCTTTGATGTTCTAGACTAAGAAGGTTGCAAGTGATGTTCGTGTCTTCAATCAGGCGGATGGCTCTATTCTGGATGGAACCCAGCAGCTTCTGGATATGTTTAGTGGCGGAGCTCCATGCATGAGAACAATACTCTACAGAAGGTCTGATCTGAGCTTTATAAAGCATCAAAAGTTGCTGACGTGTGTACAGTTTTCTAGTTCAGGACAGTGTTTCAAGCTTTTAAGAAGCATCCTCTGCAATTTCAGCGACATGATTGTGACAACACATATTGGTGTCCATTTTAACAAACTCATCGAAGCAGACAGCGGAATTGCCTGTCCTGATATTATTATATATTCGGTTCCGAGACATTCATCTTTTTGGAGAAAACGTTGCCTGAGTTTTCGTGGCATTGAATTGAACCTGGTTTCTTTTACCCCAATTCGAAATCACAAAAATACCGTCAGTTTCTGATGAAGGACCTTGGACTGAGATAACCACCTGATTGTGGAGCTATGCTACTATATTTCAAGTGGAAATTAACGCCATCGATTTATGTTTGGGAAGATTGGAAGAAATCAACCTCGCACAGAAATAAATCTGACACATACATCAAGAATTTTTTTTCGGAAAGCTAAGCATTTGGCTTTCATCGAACCACGATCAAGTTGATAGCGATCTGCCAAAAACACACAAAACCTTACTCAATAGAAAGTTTGGAAAAATTATCTCTGGTTCAGATTTCAGGCCAGACTGATAACTATCTCCGTTCGAAAGAAAATGAAATAGCAGATCACAAACTATGTGCCTGCCCCGCAATGGACCTAATCAGATTTTCAGCGTTTGGCAGAGTTTTTTTCTTGCCATCCGACCTGAAAGATAATCTGATCGGCTCCATTGAGGAGCAAAATTCTTTTGACGGAATGCAGATGAGATTCTAGTAGGTCCACTAACTTTGGACCTACCTACTTCCTACCTACAGACATTCCTGGACTCAACCTTCACTTCACAGACCTACCTCGGATATACAACGTTACATTATTGGATTTCCTACTCAAAAATTCCATAATCAGCGAAGGTCAGGTGCTTTGATAAACCGAGGTCTTCAATGTTGTTGAAGTTGTGTGAAGTAATCTATGCGGCTTTTGCATGGGCCTTTTGCTGGATGGGTTACAATTCGGTGATAGATTTGTGATCACCTCGTTCAGTATCTACAACTAAACTGAGTAGATCTAGCCCTAATTCAGGCAGATTGTGACGTCATCACACCAGTAAGGTTGTCCTTAGCTTGCCCAGTCGACCAGAATGCATCAAATTGTCACGTGGTGTCCTGTTACCCAGCGGTGAACCAACCAGAGTGTACCAAATTATCATATAGCGTCCTCAAACCGTCACGCAGCTCGCCATTTATTCAGAGCGCACACTTCTGCATCTCATAACATCGTAGCGGGAGATTTGAATTTTTGTGGACATAAATAATTCAAACAGACGAGTAGTTATCTTACCGCTGAGCTGGATACAGTCCATCAAGTTCTCTCAACCCTTAGCTGTAAGGATGACGTAGGTACGTCATCAGCTGCTGGGGCAGCTGCCCTGAAGAGAAATGCTCCAGTTCCTGCTCTCTCATGGTCGCGGACCATGCAGAGAGAGAGATCTGAACTTATTATTATTACTATTTATTTCGTTCTCATCGGAATTTCTCGCCCGGTTTCGTATTTAGAAAGGTAAAAAAATCATACTTGATGAGAATTTTTGATTTCTTTGGCGTAAAATTTTCTGATTTTTCGCTCTGCAGTTCCAGTCAGTGGAAAATACTGATATTGTCTTTAATGTTCAGAGTTGTTTTGAGCATCGAAAATGCCGTGAAGATAATGCCCTATAAAAAATGACATCATCAATGGAATAGAGTGTCCGTATCATAAATTATCTTCTAAGGTTGAAAATGTACTTCAGTTATTAATGTTCGATTTTGATTTTCCAGTGAAACCAACAATCTTGATACAGGTTTGCTGATAGAAGTGTGGAATAAAGGAATGATTTGGGACCGAGCTATAGGATACCATTGGATACCGCTTCAAACGATAACCTATTCAAACGAGGTAAGTATAAAAATAACATTAATAATGGTATATTATCCAACGAGCGAGAAATTTTTCACGATAAGAACACTAAACGTTCTCTATGACTTATAAGAGAAATATTTGAAAATAAGAGAAGCAACCTTAAAAAAACATCCGAGAATATTTTCCATTCTTGCTACTTTATTCAATTTCAAATAGTTTGAATATCGATTTGTTAACCACTGGCAATCAAGTATAATGTTTTAACAACCACTCCAAGGAGGAGGTTACAAATTAGCGTGAAATGAAATCATTGAAGAAAAGAAAGATTTTGGCATTTTACTGCTCCATCTATAGGCAATTATTGTTAAGAAATACTTCCCTAATATTTCTACTTCTTCTTTTTCGTTACTGAATAACTTTTCATTTTGACTTATTACTACTATACAGGGTGATCCAAAAGTACTTTGACAAACTTCAGGAGGTGATTCCTCACAATATTCTAATATGAATTGTCCAAATAAATAAATGTCCGGAAACGCTTCGTTTCCAAGATACAGGATGTTGAAGTTTTATTTGTATTTTCGTTTTTTTCAAATAACTTTTAAAATACTGAACTACTGCGCTTGCTCAGGGCACATG